TTGCCAACCTCTCATGCTTTCAGAAGAGTGCATATTATGCAGGAATCAAAATTTTCAACAGTCTACCATCAAATCTCACAAGTCTTGTAAATAAGAAGGAGCAATTTAAGGTAGCATCAAAAAGATACTTAATTACACACTCCTTTTACTCTGTCAATGTATTTATGTTGTTTACAAATAAGTAATAAATTTTTTTTGTATGTAATGGGTAGATCTATTCGTAGCTTATCATTTCTGTAGGTGAATACTTTGTTTTGTATTATGTGAAATTTATATAATAGTACGAATTGTACTTTATAATATGTATTGTATTATTATTATTTTTATTATTATGACTTTTTCCACATCCTATTGTCATCTGTCGTATGGATCCATGGAATGTAAATAAATTATTATTATTATACTGTTCCATATTAGTATGTATTTACTTATGGTTCTTAAACACTTTATAATTGTAAACATATAATGCACATGATTCTTAGTATCACTATAGGTGCATCATTTTAATGTATACTTCTTAATATGATTTGTTTCTATCTAATATTTTTTGCTTTAACATTTCTTGTCTCTCTATTATGGAGATGTAATACATACATGATAAGTTCTGTTTACTAATAATTTTGACAGTAAAATTCAAGATGGAGTTATTTATATTTAGTTGGATCTTAAAAATATAAACTTTATGCTTGACTGTTTTAAGACATTTTGACTTTATAAGAATTATCTGGCTTTGGCACTACAAATGAATAATGTTATTCTTGACAGATGCATTCCTGGCCGCTGGCATTGTGATTATGACAATGACTGTGGTGATCATTCAGATGAGGATGGCTGTGTTCCCCGGGAATGCTCTGAATCAGAGTTTCGCTGCGGTGATGGTCGATGCATACGTGGAGTTCATCATTGTGATGGGGAATATAATTGTGATGATCACAGTGATGAAAATGATTGCAACACAACCTGCAGCCAGTTCGAATTTCAGTGCCAGAACCCACATTACTGCATATTCATGTAGGTTGCGCTTTTCCACTCATGTTAATCTCCAGGTCTCCAGTTTTTTAGTTAAGTTCAATTTGTAATTTAAAATCATGTAATGATTCCAATGTGAAATTTATAAAGTGACTGGTATGTTTTTTTTAAATTGTATAATAATGTTTTTTCCACCTATGTAATGTTCAGAAATTGGTGGTGCTATTTTTCTTGCAGTAATGAAGTTCTCATAAGTCATACTTGTTTTGTTGCTGTTACATTGTAAGTTGCCAGCTGCACTGCAGCAAGCAGTGTGACTATTGGCAACATGTGGACAAAGTGAGAGAAATAGTGCAGCTGGGTTGTAGAAAATGAAAATCGGGAAATCGTATGATTTCTCATTGGCTGACATTTGGCATGGTTAAGTTTACTGGAATGCAAACTAAACCTTGTTTCATACATATTCTACATGCATAACCTTAAGAAATTGATGGTTCCAATGATTTTGTTCACTATAATGTAGTTCTTGTTATAAGTTATACTTGTTTTATCTCAGTTGTTCTGTACCATTTTCTTTGTGAGAGCAAGGAAAACCACAGAAAATATCCTTCATCATGGCTGGTAATCCATCTTAGATTTGAAGTGGGTACATTCCATCTGAATTGTAATAGAAATGTTTATAATATCAGGTTTTATTCATGTGGAAATGACATGTGCATTTTACTATGCCACACTTATTATGCCAAATTTTTGTTAACAGAGAATGGAAATGTGATGGAGACACTGACTGCAGTGATGGTTCTGATGAAGCCAATTGTAATGAGTCATGTCCAGACAACCAGTTTACTTGCCAAAATAAGCAGTGTATTAGCCAGTCTTGGCGCTGTGATGGGGATGATGATTGTGGTGATAACTCAGACGAAACTCAGTGTGAGACTCTTGCTTGTCCTCCAGGTCGACACAGGTTAGTGTGCATACATATTGTGTGAACATGCTAGTGCTCATGCTTCTGAAAGTTGTATCCATGTTTTATGTTACAACAGTTGCAGCAAACAGCTACTATTAAAGTTAAATTGCTACAGAGAAAGATACAAGATAATTTTTTAAAAATCTATGACTAAGATAGCTGTCTCCGGGGTTGTAGCCACGAAAATCTCAAATCCTATCTGTAACTAACTTCATGGAGCAGAATCTTTTGAAAGTTAATGTGCACCTGTTCAATAAATTCCCCACATTTTATGGAATCCAAACGTTCATTTCAGTGTTCTTAAGAACCCACTATTGGTTAATATTCTCGGCCAGTTCAATCAAGTCCATTGCCCTAATATTGTTTTTTAAAGATCTGTTTTAATATTATCCTCCATCTATGCCAAGGTCTGCAAATGATCTCTTCTTGTCCTTTTTGATTTGGTAACCCTGCTAATTCTGTGCCACTCCTGTCCATGACTTCCTTCACTCCCACTAAATCTTGCATATACTTCAGTATTTCTCTTTCTATTGTTGTCAGTTGAACTGACTTCTAGACTCTTGCCATTCAAGTTCCAAATGTCATCCATAAATTAAATAATATTAAAGAGTTGGGTCTCTGTTTTAGGTGCAAGAATCATATCTGCATCTCTCCTATAAATATTTGTGATGGTATAAACAACTGTGGAGACTCATCTGATGAAGACCCTGCAACCTGTAAGTGAATTGAATTATCTTGTACAGATTAGAGTAGAATTTATTTTGCATAGTTGTCATTTTGTATGCATGCATATATGAAAAATTTTAAAATGGTGCATTCTGTCTTGCAAACATATTTTTCAATACATGATTCAAAAGACTATTGTGAATTAGGATATAGTATTTACTAATATCAGAGATTCAAGAAAATATCTGAAGTTTCTGTTAATATTAAGAGCACTTTGTTCTTTATGGGGCTGGCCGTTGATTTGTTATACTTGAAATAAGACACAGCACTAAACAATGCAGAAATTGAGATTATTACTTTCACTCATTACAGCTGTTTTGATGCAAAGACTAATTGTAGGGATAAACTGGCTTGCTGGCAACATGACACATGTAATTCTTGGATAGAAAGAAAAATGTAATGTGTTTTCTGTAAGAAGTTTATTTTCAGAACTTTTGCTTTCACCACACTTCTTTTTTGCTATTAAGCCATTAATATTATTGCCAGTTGTAATGATAACCATAAATTTATTTTGCATGTTAGTATAGGTTTAGATTGTTTGTTTGTTTCTTTCTTTATCTGTGTGGCAACTGTTAAATATGGTCTGAGGTTCTCATGGCGGTCAATATGGAGATGGCTGTCTTTTGGGTTGTAGAAGTTTACCGACATTTCAGAGGTGTTTGCTGCCCCCATTATCAGGACCAAGAGAAACTGGTTTTTTGTGCTTGGCTTACTCATTGCCATGATGATGGAGGCATCAAGGATCTCTGAAACACTGGTAAACATTTACCAAACTATGCAGTGCTACAACCCAGAAGTCAGCCATCTTCAGTATGGCGAGTTACACCAGTAAGTGATACGATATCCATAGCTTTTTTTATTTTGTTGATGCCTGGGTGATACCGTAAAGATTGGCTCTTGTAATTTAAACCCTCAACAGGCTATATTTCTCTTAAGTCACACTAGAAATTATGAAAAATTTACCATTGTATTTTCTTTTTTGAGAGCTACTGGTAGTCAAGACAGTAATGAACCTTCAGTTTCCATAAAAGGTATGAAATTTCTTGAGCATACTAATAGTTTGTCAAGAAGAGGACTCTGTTTCATGGAGTTCGGTAGTTGGTTAGTTGTTATATATATGTGTGTGTCCTTTGAATCAGAAACAAGCACAGAAACAGAAACTAATGTGTGGAAACATTAATTACTTCTATAAATTTCCATATGAAAATTTAAAACAGGAAAATGTATTCAGTTATTTTTATATGAGAGCTACAGATTAAGAGTATAGATGTCTTTCATTTACCTCTGCAGTATCAAAATGAAGCAGGTGAGACTGATTTTTACAAGGAATAACTATGTGTAGAATAAATTCCTCTCTGGCTACCAGCTGTGTCAGTGGTTGAATGGAGAAAACACCAACGTTTCAAGAACCATCTTAATCCTAATCCAGAGGGTACTGGAGTTCAGTATCATGGGGACCTGACATGGCTGGTAGCCTGAGAAGAATTCATTATACTTAGTTGCCATGAAAGTTTTACATCATACAAACTTATATTTGTATTTCTTGATGGTGAAAGCTTTATCACATGAGTATTTAAAGAGATTGTACACATTTTGAACCGAATTATATTGTTTGTTTATTTCTTTTATCTTTTGTCTGTTTTATTTATTCTCTTTTTATAGAGGGCAGGGAGACATAAGCTTGAAGAAATTTTCGTGATTTCTGTTTATGTGCCTGCCACACTTAGTAAGGATCACATACTAATTTGTGTAGAATCTTTGCAAGCCACATGGTCATTTGTTTGCAGGTCAACAGTCTGGCCACTGTGCTACTGATCAATTCAAGTGTGCCAACAAGAACTGCATTAGCAGCAAATTCCGCTGTGATGGATTTAATGACTGTGGAGATGGTTCTGATGAAGAAGACTGCATTCAACCACCATGTCATTTTGGAACCTGTTCACAGATCTGTGTAGAAAAGAAGGGAGGAAACTTTTCTTGCCACTGCGCTCCAGGTTTCATAGGGGAAGGAACATCGAGGAACAGGACTTGTTTGGCGAGAGGTAACATTTAGTTCAATATCAGGTCTTCAAGACCTCATTTCTATCGAGACAAACGCAGAAATATTTTAGGGCTGAGGGGCATCATGATTTGTCTAATGGATTGCTGATGACAGCTTCTGTGCTGTCTAAACTTATCCACTTGTTACTGTACTATATTTTTTTTTTTGTCATACCTATTTTTATTCATCAGATATAACTTTATTAAAATATCTTCTTTTCCATCCTACTTAAATATAAGTTTATTAAAATATATGAGACTAACATTTTACTTGTAGTTCTGTATGGGTGTAAAACTTGGTTTCTAACCCTAACAGAGGAGGATATGTACATGTAAAAAGATTTTGATTTTCTGCAGGTAATTCTGATGTGTACATGTAATTTTTCATTCCTTCCAAATGTAGGCAAATGAAGACTGACACAGCTTACGTCAAATTCATGTTTAATGTCTGTGCTTTCCAGGAAAACCTGCCCGCCTCATTGTTGCTGGTGAAATGGATCTAAGAGACTTGAATACGTACAAAGCTGGCGAAAACTCTCTAATCCATGCCCTTAGCAAATCATTTAATGACCGTGGTCAAAAAGTGGAGTCAGTGGATATATTATGGGATCTAACAAAGCCAACAATATTCTGGTCTGACCACCACAGCAAGATGATCAGGAGGTCTTATTTCTATGATTTGTCCTCAACATCGAATCAAACCCAGTCACGGAGAGTGCAGCGAGATGACTTGAACATTGTGGTAAGCGATCAGCAAGTCTTTTAAGGATCTAATACTTTTCTGATCCTTACATGAAATTTAAACAGATGTGAAACATTGTAGCCTGAAATTTGAATGGCATGCTGTAGCATGAGTGAAGAACAGTTAAGGGCTCATCCATGTCTCACATTTTTCAACAACAATGGTCCCAGAGGTCATTGTTATTGCTATTGCTGCTGTTCCTATAGACACTGTTGTTTTCCTTTTGTTTATTTTATTATTGTTGTTGGAGGTGGTTTTGGTGTCTATAATCTTACCAAAACACAACTTTTGTCATGGTACCATTCTTCTATCACGTTTAGTTTACGAGCTACAGAAACCATCTTTATTGGGACTTGAATGCAGAAGCTATCCTGACTGGAGGTTTTCATTATTTTCTGAAGGCTCTCCAGGTATAGAATGCTGAAATTGGCAGTCTTGTTAATTTGTTTTACATTGCAAGAGATATATCTTTGAGAGACTTTTTCCTCTGCCTTTCCTGTATTACACAACTGTATTTCAATATAGTGAAGGTAATTATAAAAATATCATCTCCCAACAAACTTTACAGAAGTTAAAGTTTCTCGTAAATCTAAGCATCATGCAATGAAGATGTGGGAGTTGAGAAGTATAAGATTTTGGCACTAGGTCACTAAATCTAGGTGAGTGGTTAGCTTGAGCCATTTTGCAGGTGGTTGCAAACAGAAAAGGCCTTGCTTCACTTGGGAGGATAGCCAGTAGCCAGTCACATAACCAATTTAGCTCTCTTGGTTTGGTATGCTTATGTACACGTTAATTGATTATCTATCACATTAATCACATTAGTTTGCATATTTATTACAACTACATTTTATTGAAACAGGCATTTCTTGAATACATGACACCAACATTCTATAGTGACGGAAATGTAATTATGTTCAGTCCAGCTTTCTTAGGTTTGAAAAATCTGAGCATTAAGTTGTGTGCACAGAGGGCTCCAAATTTTTCATTCTGTATTTTTGTCTTGAATATGTTACAACAATCCAAGCAGTGGGAATTCATTTCACACCTCTGCAAATGGAAAAAAATGTTTTTAATTCCATCCGTCTCTTGATCAGCCATTTCACAAGTGAATGTATATGTTTATTTTCAGGCATCAAACTTGGTAGACCCACGTGGACTGGCTGTGGACTGGGTGGGCATGCGTGTGTATTGGGTAGATGCAGGACTTGATGTGATTATGGTCTCTGAATTAACTGGAGATAAGAAATGTACACTCATACACACCGAACTGGATCAACCTCATGACATTGTTGTGGACCCTCAATCTGGGTGAGTTGTGTGTTTTACACACATGACTTGATTGGTGATTTCTACCACATTGATTAAGAACTGAAAGTTAATGATTCACTGTAGAGTGTGAAACTCTAGTGAAGGCAACAGAATCTCACTCTTCTTTCTAACATTCTTGAGGACTGTGACTATTAACGGTATTTACAGCATTACTGTTGCATAAGTTCATAAAATGCTAAACACTGAACCATTTGTTCAGGTTGTTTCCAAAAGATGCTGCACTTTTTAATTGCATATATTTACCAAATTATGTGACAAACATAATCATGTATCATGTCCCTGAACACAGCAGCCTCAAGAGTGAAAGTCAAATGAAAACAATTTTGGTATGTGCACCGTCAGTTTATAAAACTGCAGTTGTCTTTGGTAATGTTGCATTTCACCAGCCAAAGCTTGTTCATTGGTGCTGATAGCAGCTTCAGATCTTGAGTTGTGTGCAGATTATTCCTGTAAACAGTATTAAGCAAATTCCATAAGAAGAAATTGCATGGGTTGAGGTTTGAAGAGTACACTGGCCAGTACCAGCCATAAGCAAAATGTGCAGGAAACTTATTATTCAGAAATTGGTCATGGAAATGTTGATTGATAAAAGTAGGATTTGAGAGTCTCATGACAGTGAGCATGAAGATGGCTGTTTTCTGGGTTGTAGTACCATATAGTCTGGTAGATACTGACTGATCTGCCAGACTACACAGTGCTATATCTCAGAAGATAGACATTTTAATATGTCATGAGAACCTCAAATCCTGTATATTGATAATTGTTTGAAGTTGTTGAGAAAGACTATAGACTGTGCAATATTTTCTGGTGTTTTGGTTTCCTTTGTATGTGTGTGTGTGCGTGCGCGCATGTATGTATGACTTCACTTTTGCCAATGCTTCGGCAAAACTCGGCACAGATTCGGGCTCGCATTCGTCGTCTTCCACTTCCTCACCACTCCCTCCCCCTTCACGGACAATAACAGGAAGAATGGAAGTACTATTACTGCCGAACACGACGAAACGTAGCCGTAGAAGACACTGAACCACTGGAAACGAGATGAACCAGAAGAATGAAAAGGGCCGCCCGCCTTTCCTTTGTACTTATAATAAAAGCATTTGTGAAGAAATTCACACTGCACATGCCATCTGGCATCGCTGGAACGAAATATGAGTGCACCCTAATTAAACTCATAAAATTTCTGACAATGAGCACCGCCATTCACTCCAACCATCACCCCTGCACCGGTGACCCCTCATTCCAAAAGGATCTGTGCTGGTTGGGCGACATAACAGGTTACCGCTACTGTGTATTCCAAAAACATTGTGCATCTTTCGGTATTAATTTATCTCTAAACCCAGCATTTTAAATTCTAAAAACATGGCGTAAATTTCGTTATAATTTCTCAGAAATGATCATTGCGGGAAATTTGTGGGCCGGGACTAAGATTTTTGAACGATCGATGCGATAAAACGATAGTTCGAGGAATGATAGAAGCAGGAAAATGTAACATTATTTTATATAGGATGTATCCGGGACCGAACAAAATGGACGATGCATCTGGGAAAATGATAGTTTGGGGAATGATGGATAGAGGTTTCACTGTATACACACACATATACATATATAAACACACATGCACACCAATAACACACTTCTTCTTGTTAATGGTCCCAGTCATTTAAAATAACCAACTAGTCTGTTTATAGCAATTGCATTCTTGCACATAATTTTTTCTCTTCACTACTGAAGTTGAACAACAATAGCAGGCTGCGAAAACGTTTTCACTACAACACTTGTCTTCAGGATTTTCAGCTTGGTCCTGTTTCACCCTACAATCATAATACAGTTGCAGGATATGTGTCAACTATGAATACAGATTTTTTTTATTATTTCTCATAGGCTTATGTTCTGGTCTGACTGGGGTGTGAATGGTCGTATTGAATCAGCATATATGGATGGAACTGGGCGTCATTCACTTGTAGATACAATGGTACAGTGGCCAACTGGACTTGCAGTAGACTACCCAGCTAGAAGACTATATTGGACTGATCCCAAAGCATATACTATAGAAAGTGTAGATCTGAATGGACAAGATCGTCAGGTCATCAAAAGATTCCCACATAGTAAGTCAGTGTCATGACAGGATTCCAAAGGATCAAATTTATGTAGGATTTGTGGTTTTTATGGCAGTGACTCTGAAGATGGCTGTCTTCTGGGTTGTTGCGCCGTGTTGTCTGGTAGAAGTTTGCCGACGTTACAGAGGTCCTTGCTGCCTCCGTCATCATGGTGATCGCTTCTACCAGACTACATGGTGCCGCAACCGAGAAGACAGCCATCTTCAATCAAATTAATGGCTTCATTTACTTTACGTTATTTATTATGACAGATTTATAGTTCCTCAGGGCTGGTTTTGATTCTTTTAAGTTTCTTGTTTTTGGCCGTTAGTGTGAAACTAAACTGCAGATTTGGATCTGGATTTTCTTTTTACATCTGAAGAGTTCAAAACATAGGTATGAGTAAACTAAGACATAGTTATTAAGTTATGAATGTTTCTTCTTCTTCTTCTTTAAAGACTCAGAAAGCAAGCTGGTACATTACTTTCTATGCAAAATGTTACTTCAGTGAATGTAATATTATTCTCCATAGCATAAATATACTTCTTAATTCTTACTTGTGTAGCACTCATCATATCTGACAACAGAAAAAATTAAATTCTTTTTAATTTTATAGGGGAGAAACCATACAAAGTGGAAGTGTTTGAAGACAACCTGTATGTTAGCACATACCAGACTAACAACATCATTAAACTGAACAAGTTTGGACGTGGTGATCTGACATACCTGACGCGGGGACTGAATAGAGCATCAGACATCCTTATTGTTCAGGAAAACAAGCAAATGAACAGTAAGTTTCTAAGCACAGTCTTCACCTGGGAGATAAATAGAGTGATTTTCTCACAGAAGGGGCATGATTTAGGATGACAGTTCAGAACACAAATTATACTATAAGAAACAGTATGGAGATCTTTTGGTTAATATATTTCTCTTGGCCACCATTTCCAGAATGGTTCTGGGGCCACCCAGTCTCATATATGGTGGATATTGGTGGCTCTTTCCCCAAGAAGGAAAGCAACTACAGTGTGAAGCTACGATCCTCCAGCTAGTGCTGTACATCTACAATGCATGGAGCTTATCTTAGAGCCTACAGTACACTTTCATGGAATGAATTGTAGTCACAGACACAACTTACCCTTTATTTCCTACCTTTAACACTTTGCATATCTTTCTAAGTACCAAACAGTTGGATTTTTAAAATCGAAGTTGCAGTCATTAAATAAATTATTTTCCCTCTAAACTTTTTATTATGTGTGTTTTAT